GGACGGCATCCACAGAAGTAACGCGCATATATCGAACAGGGTGGGTGCTATTGAAGGCTTGCAGCTCAGGATCGTCTGTACCAGGTATGTGGAAGCATAAAATTAATACCATTGAAATGCGGTAATCACACTGGCGTCCGAGGGGTTTTAGTAATTCCAAGGGGTTTTAGTAATATTGGCGATTGCGTATTCCCAGCATTCAGAAGCATTTTTTCAAGACTGCTCGACAAGCTACATTTGATCATCATTGCGACGTACAATTTGAATTTACTTGGTTTTCCCTCCGTGACTGTTTTGGTTTTTTGGTGTCGAATTAAGAAAGTTTGTATACTCATCTTTTTGTAGCAAACGCGGCACATGTCTATTCATTAGTATGAGTTTGCATGTGTCTTCGTAAGTTTGATTTCTGGCTGAAGCTCGAATTGCAGTGATCGCATTTGAACGGCTTCTCACCAGTATGAATTCGCATGTGTGTTTGCAAATGCTCTTTCCGGCCAAAGCTCGAATTGCAGCGATCGCATCTGAACGGCCTCTCACCAGTATGAATTCGCATGTGTGTTCGCAAGCTTGCTTTGTAGCCGAAGCTCGAATTGCAGCGATCGCACTTGAAAGGCTTTTCACCAGTATGGACTCTGCAGTGCACTCGTAAACTTTCCAATCTTCTGAACCTCTTATCACATTGTATGCATTTGTATGGCTTCTTGCCAGTGTGCGTCCTTATGTGAATCTTCAGCCGTGAGGCACAAGAAATGTTTTTACTGCAATGATTGCATATGAGTGAGCGTCTACCACTGCCAGTCCTGTTTTGGCTGTGACCAGCATATTCAGTGCTTTCGTTTGCAGATGTCGCCCACTGTCCATCTGGAAGTGGCCGGTGGCTGTCAGTGCAGTTGGCTGTTTTGTCCTGTGTCTGATTCTTCAACTCAGTTGGGTTCGCAAGCTGCAAAATCGTTTAGAAGCAGTCACCTTTTTTATTAACGCCAAACTAACAAATTGCCGGCATCAAATATTCCCGAAATATGCACGGTATCACAGAATGTATAAAGAAACTAAAGTGAAACGATGGTAATTACCTCCAACAATCATTTAGAAGACGAAAACGATCTAGATAAAATGGGAGTCGCAGCCAGAACGGGAGAGCAAAGATTCAATTTGGAACGAGCTGCAGAAATTAGTGAAAGGGAGAAAATTTTGTCTAAAAGGACACTACGCTACTGCGAACCAGTTTTATAGAGATTCACAAACTGCAATTCTGGAAAATGTTTTTCGCCAGAAATCGGTCTGTAGTAAAAGAGAAACAAAATAACTCTTTTGAATCCGTCAAATGACACTGCAAAAGTTTAACAGAACAACTCGTTCAGATTCAGCAACGCCATAACTTTATCATGGGTATCACCATTGACGATTTCTTTATCTAAATTTGTTAAAAAGCACTGATTTAAAAGATTACCGAGCCTTTCGCAACCATTGATACTATTTGCATCGCCACAATGGATATCAAGAATGCTGTCACCTTGGAGGAGCGGCATCGAATCACCCAATAAGCCCGATCGGTTCGTCCCTTTGTATCCTTCCCGGCGAAAGCATTAGACACTTTTTCGTTTCCATCTACTCCATCAGCACGCCGTTCTTCCAGCACCTCCATTCACAG